AATGATGAGTGATGCAAATATAAAAAATTTGGGTTGCGGTTCTGTCATAAATTTACTTTATTACATCGTGATTATGCCTTTTACAGTCTCAACCTTTTCTGTAATTATGCTTCATACTTATGCCATTTTTTTATCAATCCTTTAGTTATAATGAAAAATTATTGTCAATAAAGTATGTACTATATCCTTATTCTAAAATTCATCATTTTGATGCTACTTATAATTTTCATAAATCTTATTTTGGTTGTTCACTTGTCAATAGTTCTAGATCCTGGATTCCTGGTGAGCTTTAAAATGTCACATTACAGTGTCATTCCGAAGCTTTTTGCGACATAGACTACGAAATTTCTAGCTTGGCCATATAGTTCTTGATGTGTTGCTTCATATTTAGTGCTGTACCAGCATGTTCGTTATGTTGTGGAATACAATATGCAACAAAACAAGTGAGAACAAAAACATATTCAAATCACTCGCTCATTATGATCTAATGGGGAATTTTTACTCTTTGTCTGGGTGCATGGCCCCTTTAGAATTATATATTTCATGAGATGTGGAGTTTAATCTGATGGAAACCCATTTAGGACAGTCCATTCAAAGGAGTATCAACTTAAGCTAAGGCTAAGAAAGGGAAGTGAAGAAGGACTCTTAAAGACTCTTTCTTAATTTTCTTTCTCTAAGTCTTAGTAGGATTCTCTTTAATATGTTTATATGTGTTTTGTAGGGTCTAATAAAGCTAGGAGATCATGGATCAACTAGCCAAGAAACTTGATAAATCAAGAAGCAAGGAAAAATCAAGAATGAAGAAGCAAGCCAAATCTTCACTTAGAGGAATGTTGGAATCTTCACTTGGATCCATAGTAAGCTGCTTTGGAAGCCCACATGAGTCACATTCCAACCAGCAGCTTGGTTGAAGTTGAAGAAAGCCTAGTGCTCAGCAGATGAGGGTTTGCGCCCAGCGTCAACAAATGCACCAGTTGCCACTCACGTTTCTTCACCAGCTTCTTGTTTGATAGGCCACGTAGCCACTCACGTTTTCTTTCCACTTGCACAGCTGGCCCTTGCATCATAG